ATAAAGTAATTTGTGTTATGTTCAATAGATTTGGCTCAATTTTAAGTTGGGAATTAACCTAAATCAAAGTATTTCAACCAAATACTGGATTTAATAAGAGTTTTCTGCTAAAATAAAGCAATTTAAGCTATTTTCAATCCAATATTAATCGATTTTAATACAGAATTAATTCAAAACTAATGTTTTTTATTAAAATAATTGCTTCAATTCTAATTTTAGGCTGAAACAAAGCAATTTGAGCTATTTTCAATGCAATTTTTCTCGATTTTAATACAGAATTAATTCGAAATTAATGTATTTTATAAATATAATTACTTCAGTCTTAATTTTAGGCTAAAATAAAGCAATTTGAGCTATTTTCAATTCAGTTTTAATCGATTTTAATAAAGAATTAATTCAAAACTAATGTATTTTATAAGTATAATTACTACAATCTTCATTTTAGGCTGAAATAAATCAATTTGTGATATTTTCAATCGATTTGGCTCAATTTAAAGTTGGGAATCAACCTGAATCAAAGTATTTCAACCAAATACTGACTTCAATAAGAGTTTTCTTCCAAAATTAAGCAATTTGAGCAATTTTTATTCCAATTTCGCTCGATTTTAATAGAAAATTAATTCGAAATTAATGTATTTTATAAATATAGTTGTTAACTTCAAGTCTGTTACCTTTCTTAAATATTGGTTTCACGTAAGAAATAGTCCAGTCGCACGGTAACTTGGCGTCCATAAATAATTTTTGCATAATCAGGGAGAGAGGATAGGAAACGTTTGAACCGCATCTTTTTAGTAATAAGGGAGAAATGTTATCAAAGCCCGAAGTAGAAGTGGTTTTTAAATTGTTAAGTTTATTTAAAATTAATTCCGGTGAAAAGTCGATGTTTGTGAGATTAGATATTTCCTTCAGAAGTACACTAGGAACAAAAGCTGCGAAAGAGTTTGTGACAGAAAAAAAAGTTTGATAAAAATGTTTAGCAAAATAATTGGCAGTCTCACAATCAAAGAACATTAGTGTATTGTCTAGTAGCATAAGTTGGGGTATTTTAGGTTCAGTGCTGATGTTACGTCAAATATACTTGAAAACATTTTTGGGATTGCTATTTTTACCAATTTTTTCTTCATAATTTTTTCTAGAACGTTTCATTTTTTGAGACAATTTGTTTGATAAATTACGATGCTTATTGTAGTCAAAATCAGAACGCGATCTTTTGTATTTTTGCAACAGTTTTGTTTTTGTTTTAATTAACTGAAATATTTCTGCTGTTAGCCATGGTTTTGTAGGGTTTGTTAAAAAGGATCTAGCGACAGTACTGCGATTTTGCAAGGAAATTAATGTGTTTTAAAACAAGACCACTTAGCTTCTATAGAGGGTGATGAGAGCACCTCGTCAGAAGGGGGCGAGCGGCAAAGCCTTTTTAAATTTAAGCATTTCTTTAAGATATTTTTAAATGTTTTTTGCAAGTATAGGATTTTTTTAATTCAGTAGATCTGACACTTTCTTAGTCTTCCCAACTGTCTTTTAAAGAGCGATGTTTTGAAAAGTCAGGATTGACATTCTTAAATGCATTTCGTTAAGACATTTTTAAATGTTATGTTACAGGTCTAGAAATTTTTTAGTCCAGTACTTCTAACACTTTTTAACTGTCTTTTGTAGCACGATGTCTCGATTGACACTTTACTAAATAAAAATGAAACTTTTAGACAAATCCGACAGAATTTGACGACATTGACTATTGCTACCCTAAATAGCGTCCTAAAGTTGAACGTATCACTCGCTAGGACGACATCCAGACGCTCGTTCGATGCCGTCCTTATTCGTTTGGGTTACTCCGGCGCCTCCACCATATGTCACAGGCCTAAATTCGTGAAAGTGGTTAAGATAAAGACCAGTTAAGAGAGTACTCACCGCTATTTTTGACAGTCATCTCTCGTAGTACTCGGCAATAATGATGAGGGGAGGGGGCACAGGTCACTACTCGGGTCACTCGCACCACTGCCGCGAAGAGTTATATAATATACTAACAATTAACTACCCCTCTCGTATTCCGCCTTCATTTATTGAGCTTCAATAGGCTGACTTTACCAAAATTATGGCCCCTTGTTCCAGCTCAGAACTTAAGAATTCCAATGTTAGCAAAACCAACCTTTCGAAACACAATTCGTTACGGAATACTAGGAAGTTGTTGGCTTGAGTAAGACTTTTCTTCCAAAATAAAGCAATTATAACTAGAAAAGTTATCTACCTAGCCATGAAACAAAAAACGTACAATTTTTTTGATAATTTTATATTAATTAATTCCCCCCACAGGTACTCACCCTTTTCCACTGTTGTAGTTAATAGTAATTGTAGTTAATAAATAAATATTCCTTATAAAGCCAGCTATGAATTGAGTTCCGTAAAAATCCTACCCTACCGTAAAAATGTGTTTTACTAAATAATAATATTTTATGTATCAAGTACGCAAAATGTTGTTTTATGGGACGAATCGTACTTAAAGACGAGACGACGCAGGAGTCGAGTCTTTAATGAGATGAGTCCCCTAAAACATTTTGCGTACGTGGTGCATACATAATTTTTTGGTATCAGCTCTGCAAATATCTTCTGAAAATGTGAATTATTTGAATTCTGAATCGTAAAATGTGGAAACTGTGTGAAAGCGTAGTACTTAGGTGTCATGACGTTATTATGGCAACCAATTGTTTATCGAAAAAACGGTTGTGTTGAAGATGTGTGAAGTTCCGGCGTTCATTTCCGAAAAAGCAAAAATAAGTGTTTCGGATTTGCTTCCGGCGAAGTCTAAAGCCCAGTATGAAAAAGAATATGCTTCGTTTCGTGATTGGAAGCAGGCAAATGGCGTCACTCTCGTGAATGGAGATGTGATATTGACCTATCTGGACGAAAAGGAGCCGAGTTAGTTACGTTGAAGCGTCTAGGTGGGTGGCACTCATCTACGGTCGCCGAATCTTATATTGAGGACTCAATAGCGAAAAAAAAGAAAGTGGCAGCTTTGATCATGAGACAAAAAGAATCAGGTGCATTAGTTTCATCTGTGGCGAATTCTGTTGACGTGGTTGCATCAACATCGATGTCAGTAGAATCTTCAAACAAATCCATTACTTATATCTTCAACCGTATAATTTTGGGGCCGTTTTACGGCCCACTTTGCGGCCGAACGGTGCGACCGATTTTTACCAGTTGTTTCGTGGTACCTCTTAATCTAGCCCACACAGGAATTTTATCAGATAGCAAAGGATCACAGGTAAAGAATTTCATATGAATTTAGTCTTAGAAAACGTTGACAGTGTGCCCGCAGGTCATACGTTTCCATTCAGTAAAAAATGATAAATGATAAAGTAGTAAAGCTGAAAATTACCATTTTTTTTATTTTAATCAATAGATTTTGAAATAAGTAAAAACTAGTTAATTCTTTCCATAAAGGCGGATTTAGGTAAAGAATTGAAAATTAACACTGATTTGAATATACAGGCTGCGCCAGAACTCGCGCCCCAGAGAAAATTTTCAAGTAAGGTAAGATACCAGGAACATGAAAAAAATGTTTAAAAAATTCTTTCTGTCAAAAAATTTTGACATTTATTTTTTGACATTTGACACTTTTTTATATCTATTTAAGGATACTGATGATCTTGTGTATGTTTTTTTACAATTATTTAGTAAAGGGACAAAAATTTTGCCAATAAAAGCGACAAATAACATTGGACAGAGTCACAATTTAGGATACACCTTCATTGTTTCCTCTTTTAATAGCCTATAGCAAAAAAACTTGGAAAATTATTTTTCCAACAGAAATAAATAGAGTCTAAGTGCAAACTTTAAACCCTCATAACTTCGAAATTTTTATAGATAAAATTTTTTTAACATTTTTTCCATGTTCCTGGTATCTTACCTTATATAGCATTTTTCTCTGGAGCGCGAGTTCTGGCGTACCCTGTATTCCAGGCAAAAATTTGTCGTTGAGGGTGTTATTTGCCAAAGACATTTTATGTTTATTATCGGGATTCTAATACACAGGGCAAAAAGGTTTTAGGTAAATAACACCCTTAAGGACAAATTTTTGACTGGGATAAATCCAACTCAGCGGTATAATTAGAGCCACCCTATAAATTTAAACCGCACTCGTTGACTTGGATATTAGGAAATGCTGTAAAAATTTTATTTGATTGAAAATGAAGCCAGAACTCGATTTCTTTGAAAAATGTCACCAAAATCACATAAAATTCTTTACTGCTGATAAATAGTAAACAACCCTTAACTTCTATATTAATTAATAAATTTACTAGTAAATAAAACAATAAATTAATTATTTTGTGAAATGATGACTTTGGACATCAAAACCTTGAATCAGATCAATTTTTAATTTTAAAGAAACGTTTCAAATATTATTTTATTCCTTTCAAAACAAGTTAAATGCGATAAGTGATTACATATAGTCAAAATTCTTAATAATTTGAGCAAACGATTTATTAATTTTCATCAACTCTCCATCGACCCATCCCAATGCCGGAAAACCGACAACTGCCGACCATCGGCTCCATCCCATCTGAAAACGGTCGAACGTGTCTGCTCGAGAGCCGAGTTTGTGACATTACTTCTGAAGCACCGTGTACGTCCCCTTGCTACAAGTAACTTACATACCAAATTTCAAGTTTCTAGCTCTTATCGTTTTCGAGATATGCTGTTTGCAGACACACACAGTGTTACGGACACTAATTTCATTTATATACCAAAATTACTTTGTTCCGCTGTGTCCCCTCACAAGTTTGTACGCAGTTAGGTTCCGTCCAAGTATGTACTTTTGGTTTTTACTCCACTTCTAACGAAGTCAAGGTCATATAATTTAGAAGTTTAATAAAATTTTGTTCTTCCAACCTAGTTCAACAGGTGTTGGATTTTTTATTAAAAAACAGACTTTATGTTGACAAAATATTTAGAACACACTTAGCTAGATATTTTTTACACAAGGTAATAAAACGAATCTAAATTTTCACATAATGGTTTATTTAACGCTACTATATTCAGAAAATGGTAGGCTTAAAAGCCTCCTCGTATGATCTACCGATCATCATCACATCATTAGTTTATTCTTATATTTAATTAATAATAAACAATAGGTAATATATCAATAATTAGTTATCATAATATGTCTACAAGACATAACGTGAACATGGAAATTTGACAAAATGTTTGACCACCTTTTAAAATAAGAAAATTCATAGTTCCAACAGAATAATGAATAGTTAATACAGATCAAAACGGGTTACGTATTCAGCGTGTATGGCACAATTTGATAAAATAGATGTCAACAGGATAATAAAGGCAAGGACAATCGGCATTTTTCCTATATAATATTAATAATCAATTGTAATCGCACACTTTATCAAATGAATTAGTTCACCCGCTTCAAGGACAGGCATGCAGAAAAGTATCTCCAAGCGGTAAAATGGCCCCCAACACAATGATATTTTTATTATAAGTTATATAAGAATAAATAATTTTTAACATCAACACTCATTGAGGCTAAAACCAAAGACATGTCATGTGGCCCTTAATAGAACCAGACAACTTCCTTCTACATGCCTGTCTAATATTCAATAATAAGGAGAAATCATAAATCCAATATCGTAATTATGGTTGTTTAAATATATCATGCATACACCCATATTTACTTATTTTATCATGTACGTTTATTGATCGTTAGAGAGAATAATATTTCCATAAATCTTTATTAGTTATATTTTTCAAAAAATAAGTGTTACAACATTTCTGCACTGTTTCTCCTTATTTCTGAATTATATCGCCTCTCTATAGGATACTGCAAATGAATTCTTAAAATTAACTCACCACGATCTTCTCGTTCACTAATGTGTAGTACTCATTAAAATATAGCTGAAGATTCAATAGCACTCAGAGAACGAGATTCCGTGGAAGTGTTTAACAGAGCTGACAAAAAACAAAGGCAAAAGGCTTAGATGCCTTATCTGCGTTTGTTTTTTAACAGACGATGCAAACAACTAATTGTTTGCTTTATGATGTGACTTAAATAACAATCGTTACTAAAATATCACAAAATTGTTGTTGATAAAATGAAAAAATAATGAGCCACTATATACAAAGTATATTTTATACAAATATTAGTATTGTATTTGATTAGCAGATTTTAAAAAAGTTTTCTTCCATTGTGGCTCATATAAAAAATTCACTCTCTTTATTTTCAGGTAATTTTATCAGATGTTTAAAAAATATATCAATAACAACAATTAGAATAAAATGGGCAGCCTGCTGACCTGATCATTGCGCAGGTCAATTCTACTTTAGGATCAGAAGTCTCCCATAACAAAACACGCCAGCCTTTGTCAGTTACCAAATAACAAAATATAAAACAACAAAATGTAATACGTAAAAACACATCAATAAAAAACTACTGTCTATTTATAAAATTTAACAGTAACTGACCGGTTCACAAAAAAATGTAATTACAACAAAAACCAAAGCCTTAACAAAAAGTATATAATCACATTATTTATAAGCAAAGCCCGAGGCATTCAGCAACAGCCGCATAAGCATAGCAAAGGTTTCAGGAAATCTAAAGCAAACATACCTAGGCGTAAATGATAGTTTCCCTCGCTGTTGACACATTACGTAAAAAACGAAAACTAAACCACTTATACATAATTTCTATTGATATATTAATAAAAAAAAGACTATTTGTAAAATGTACAAGTACATGATTTGGTTCAGTATTTTATATTTATATACATAATGTGTAAACGGCATAATTGGTGTTCATTCTCTTATGTTTATATTGATTTTGTTGAGGAAGCAGCAACACTCTAAAAAGGACGCGATATTTAAAAAATCACTATGCTTTTTATATATTTAGTATCATCAATATGTGTGTATAATAAAATTGGAAGTGAAAATTAACTTAACATTTGAGACTAACTGAAATCTTGTTTAAATATGAGGTGCTGTAGAAAAACATGGAAGTCAAATTGGATAAGAATTTTCTGTTTTCCATATCACTCTAAATATGAAAAATACGTGGTGAATTTTTATTTTTTTATCAACTTTCGTAATAAAAAAGCTCGGGTCTGAAAATTTAATATGCAAATAAAATGTAATTTCTCTGACCAAACATTTCATGCATATGAATAAATACCGCTAAAGAACAGCAAAATCTAGAACTATATTAAGTGTAGAACAAGACGAAATTGTCTGATCTAGGGACATGCAGGTTAATATAATATTATATTTAAGAAAAATTATTCTAGGTTAGGTTAACAATGGACTATGTAATAAAGTTAATATGTAGCAACAATAATGCGTAGCTTGTGTACGGTACAAACTATGTAAAGTTACTGAGATCTGCACCTAAAAGAATGCACAAGTTAAGTTAATCCGTGTTGTGTTTCGGAAATAACATTTTAAGAGGCTACAGATCGATCAGCAGCAAGAATAGCAGAAGCATATACGGAGCGCAACACAAGAGACAAGCTAACGTAGCAAACGATGCAAATGCACTAAGCAAATCAGAGACCCGCGCTTCGTCTGTGGAAGCTCACATTTTATCGTGATATTAAAGGGAAAGACCTATTTAAAACGATATTCAGATAAGTTGTTTTAATATGCAATTTGTTACATTTTAATAATGCCCATAGTATCATTAAAAGAACTAAATGCATTTACATGCAAAAAATAATTCTAATGATGCATCATAATGACCAATATTTTTAGAACAAGTCCCACACTGTAAATGGGTTAAGGTTACGTATGAAATATTTAATGACATGACTATTGGCAACAATACTTTTTCTAGAAGTTAAATTGATTGCATAGTTATAAATATTCTGGGTATTCCGGCCACGTGGATTTAATCATCTATTAAAGCACTGTAAGTCGCTAACGATTATATTTCACGAAAAATGTTATACCGTGGGTCTCAGGCAGACTTGGATATAGCAAAATAAACATGCAAAATTAGTTTTAATTTTTTTCCGGCTGCAGGAGTAACAGAAATCAAAATCTGATTGATGGAGCCTGTAGCGCTTGAAGAGGGCTATCTTATCGATATTTTTGTCGACGAATTAACTCCATTTGGACGAAAACGACCCTCAAAAAATAGAAATTTAAATTTGGCGGGTTAGCGTAACTAAGAAACGCACTATCAAGTCATTGTTGCCAAAGGAGAATTTGTCAGAATTTGACTTGATAGTTCGTTTCTTAGTAACGGCAACCCGGCAAATTTAAATTTCGATTTTTCGAGGGCCATTTTCGCGCAAATGGAGTTAATTGGAAAATGTCGATAAGATAGCCCTTTTCGAGCACTACAAGCTCAATTAATCAGATTTTAATTTCTGTTACTCCTGCAGCCGGAAAAAAATAAAAACTAATTTCTCATGTTAAATTCCTATATCCAAACCTGCCTAGGACAACCGGTATATAACGCTCTGCTTACAATGATACAAAAGTACTTGAAGAAGAAAGTTATTGCAAATATTTTTTACAGCAATAAAATGTAGTGTTAGATACATCAACTGATTATCACAAATCACAAATGACAAAGTTAGTGAATCAAAAATTTTTATATTACGAGTACGTATAAAATAGTATATTACAAACCAAGCAAGGAAGAGCTTCATTACAGCCGAGCGTTGATTAACTGTTCGAGAGCGAAGCTCGATAAAGCCTTTCTTCAAAGTTTGTATACTATTTTATTCGCAATCATCCAATGTTAAAATTCAATTTACTATAAATTGTGAATAATACATATCCTGATCGAACACATTTAAGTCAACGTAAGCGGGGCATGACAATACAGAAATTATAATACTGTCAAAATGACAATTCTAAAAAATGACTCTTTTTATTGTAATAATATTGGGGCTCATCAAAGTTAAGTAAGCCATTCTCCAGGTATGTAATTTTTTCGGGGTATGTAATAATTATTCCCGGCTAGTTTCAGTAATCATCTAGTGCTCAGCTGTTATCATGCCATTAAATTCCCAGATAACAATGTGATTGGAAATATTTTTTTTTATATTATCTTAAAATTGATAATTAGTTTAGTATTTTAGATAGTGTTTTTAAAACTATCAAATTAAATTTCATAGAAATGTTTTATTACCTCATGTTCAAACATGTGTCAGTTCGAAGGTCAAATATAAACTTCGTGTTGAGTAACGAATCTCTCAATAAAAAAAAATTGATGTCGCAACCTTAACACCTATTCCATATGTGACACATACTCATACTTTATGTAAAATATAATATTAAAAATACTAATCTAACAGCATTCGTTCAAAGAGATCTCCCGATATCACACATGTCGCATCTTGCCCTTTAATATCAGATTGTCGGACTGTGAAACTTATTTAAATGCTATTCAGGAACATGTATTTTTCGATTTCAATTCTTAATTGTGGCACTTTGTCGGGAGATATCGAGTTACGAAGTAAATTAGTTAATGTACTAAACGAAAACCTACTTGATTTTGACTAGATCAACCTATCAAAAGCCTGATGTTTATGGTGTAGTTTCTCCGTTTAAAAACCGCACAGGCAACATAAAAATACTAGTAAACATGATGCAAAAAATTGCTTCAGTCAAATTTTTAAGAATTTTTTAACTAGAAAATCCTAAAAATGATCATCCACATACATCATTACATAATTCGTTTGTAGTATTTGGATGAAACAATACCGAACACAATTGCAGCAAACAGGAGGAATACCTATAAATAAATATTAATATGTATTTGAAATTGGTGGGTATGTGCAAATGCAAAGAACATAAAGTCTGGGGAGCCATACCATACCATAATAGGTGTTCGACGACAGTCTTTCGTATAAATAAATAAAGTTCTCGTGTACGAATAATTTAGGGGATGTAGTCAAATATCATTGTATTTTTTATTTCTCCGTTTTACTACAATGGTGACCAGTTTTTTCAACCGTACGTACTAAACTCTCCACCCTATTACTCAAACGTATATTATAAAAACACATGAAACAAAGTTAATTAAAAATATAAAAAAATTTAAATATCATGAAGTCTAACATCAGTATAAAATCACAGTAATATAAAAACAAAGCTAAAAAATGTAATAACACAGTAATAAGAATATACTGGAACAAATAATACCGCTCCAGATATCTCCCAGTTTGACTATAGTGACTCATGGCCCACTGCCTGGGTCGAACCCGTGAAACGTTATTTTGTTATTGTTATGTTTTAGGTTCTTTTATAACAATGAATATAGAAGGGCATGATGCACCTATGGGACAGTATTAACCCTACGCAGAATTCGTACCGGAAAAGGCATCTGGCCATGAATAAAATTAGATATAAATTGTCCAATATCACGAGTTTCAAAAATCATCAATCAATTTCTCAATTAGACCAAGCCAAATTATGCTATCACATATTTTATTAATATCAGACACGAAGCATCTGTCACAGTCAATATGTAAGTGATTACCAGTTACGAAGTAAACGATTGAAAAAGTTCATTCGTATGAACAGGAATATAAACACTTTTGTGAAACTTAAAAGTCCAATGCGATACGATTTCTGTATAAGGATATCTATCAAATAGAACAATAGAATTATATTATAACCAACTTTTGTTTTACATAGGGCATTCACTCGTTCGAATATCTTATTTTACTACACTATTCAATCAAAAACTAATGTAACATAAACATTTTTTGTCATTATATGACTATTATACAATATAATAATAAAAAGTTCTATATATAAACATGACATAAATAAACGGTTCGGTGTTTGTCGTTGTGACTACTGCAGGTAAGAGGCCAAGGCAGCCATGACGGGTGCTGGTGGTAGTGCAACTGGGATGTGGTAGTATTTACAGGTGGAACGAGAACACTGTCCCTTTGCAGCGTCACGGCAGACGGCCACTCGATTCTCCACCACTTCTACCCCATCTCCTGAAACAAGTCTTCAATAAGAGAACATCAAAAGTCTAGGTAATTAGAATATTATCAAACATAATGAACGACAAAGTATTTCTACAAGACAAAAGTTGATGTAATTATCGTAAAATCCGTCTATATTTGCTTGAATTTTATGATTTTGACTTACACTCGTTTTCATATTAATGTGCATCGAAAGGGATCATTTTAAGGTGGTAAATGCAAACAAGCCTAACCTCAATCTTTCCTAAAAATTATATTTTCAAATAAATGTGTACCTCATGTAGTAAAAATAATTAAAATTAACAACGTAATTAACATAGGGTAGCAAACATAAAGTTTTTTGTAATTATTGATGTGATTAAATTTGTTCTGAATGACATCAAGTACACTTTTTATATAAATCGGCCTTTAAATTAAAGAATCATTTAGACTGTTACAACCTACTTGATGCACACTAATATGAAAAAAAGTTTACCAAACTATTTTGAGGGATTTAATGAGGGTGATTGTCAAATTATACTTACCAAAGCGACCAGCTGGCAGTTGAAGCAACCTCGAAGGAAACAAATCTTTATAATTAAGGGGTTGCGCTTTCTTTATCGCTAAAGACAAAAATATAGACAGACTTTAACCTTCTACTTTTGTGGGCATATTTTATAATCCATAAATAATCTGGGTAAAGTATCTATGGTGTAAATAACTTAAGTGTAATTATGCTATAAATATAATAATAAGATACCATAATGTACAGGATAATTTTAAAGTATGTGCAAATAATCTAACAGGTGATAGTAGAGTTGAAAAGAAGTCAAAATAACTCAGCTTGCCCTATTCGAATGTTTACAGTTTTTGAGACACAGTTTAAGGATGGTTCGGCATTTGAAAATTCTGCAACCCACATTTCTCAAAACCTAAATTTTATTTTAGTACAGAGTACCCTTTAAAAAAATTGAGTCCAAATTGACAAAATCAACCACAGTAAAAAGTGTCCTCATATAAAAAAGTCATAACACTGTAAAAATTTTGCAAAGCCATGCCAATGAATGCAAACACAATTTAAATCAGACACACCAAACTTTTATTTTAAACACAACACCTGTTTCAACCCCAAAGTCATGACATCTGATCCAGCCACTCTTTTACAATTTTGTGTACTAAATCTGTGTGCTCTTTACTGATATTTAAAATAACATTTAAACCAAAATTAATCAAGAACTGTCTAGCGTTCGAGATTGCAGTACCGTTTTCAAAAAACTTTTTTGAAGGAAATCTAGTGCTCTACAATTTTCTTTCTTACCTTTTTTTGTAACTTCACGCGTATTTGCAGTGTTTTAAAAAATATGTGGCGGTGCCACATTTTATATTTACACTGACCGAAGCTCGTTGCTCAAATAATGATCAAAGTGTATCAAAAATGCAATGAAAAATATGGTGTATGTTGGAATATCGATCATTTGATGAAACACTGATCTAAGTCTATTCTAAAACTTAACAGGCCGTTTGACCTTGGGACCTTGCGCTAATATTGGTTAACAAATTTTAGTTTTAGTGAACTATCAGATTGCACTATTACACTATTATTACTATACTTATCATTAGTGTGGGTGAAACATTAAAATGAGTGATGCAAGCACCAGTGACTGTGGAGATGTGGTTCAATCAAAACTTTTGTTCAATAAAACTAGAAAAAAGCGCTTTGGTAGATTGAGTGATGCAGCAAAGCATTTACAAAAACAGTCCTGTGAAACAGGATCTCCATGTGACTCGAAGTATTTTCCTTGCTTTGTGGTTATAGACGCTACACAAGATAACAAAATTATAGAATACTTTAACAAAATCGAAGATCGGAATGCCCAAAATAGGTATTTGTGTGATTTAAGAATTATAGGCGATAGTTATAGAGACGAAGGCCAAGAAAAGAAAAGCACAGTGCAAATTTGAAGGTTCATCATATAAATATAAAATTAGAATCAAGGGAAAAATACTCACAACGAAGTCAAGAAGTGATAGTTTGTCAAAAAGCATTCATAAATTTACATGGAATTAACGATTTTAACAATTTCACCTCTACTAGCTTTAGTGAAGAAAACCTTTCGCTTGTACCAGTGGTGGTGTGTCTAAGAAGCTATTTAAACCTAAACCGTTAAAAATAGAGATATGACGTAGCGGACTTTTTTAAAGCAACTTTGATTCTCTACAACTTTGTTTTGAGTTGAGAAAACATGAAGCGAGGCAAACATTTCTGTTCTGCTTATTATTTTAGATTATGGTTTTCAGCAAAATTTTTGCTATATCTTCATTTCTTACTGTGAAGTATAGTATTTAATGTTCCTAATGCCAGGGATTTTTCTGATTGTCTTGTTATCATCTTCATTTAAATAAAACATTTTTTTTAATTTTATTGCTCTTAAAAACTTGGAAAATTATTTTTCCAACAGGAATAAAAAGAGTCAAAGTGCAAAATTTAAACCTTCATAACTTCGATATTATTATAGATAGAATTTACAAAAATTTTGCCAATAAAAACCACAAATAACATTATACAGAGTTACAATTTAGGATTCAGCTTTCTTTTTTTTTCTAATAGACTGTAGCAAAAAAATTTGAAGAATTATTTTTCCAACAGAAATAAATAAATAGCCCAGTCAAATTAAACCAATCGGTGGAAAAAAATCTTAGAGTTGGAATTTTTTTTAATCGCTTTCTTGACATTTGGGTAGACATATATCAAAAGTCCCCTAAGGTGGGCGGCGAGCTCGGGGAGGAGGAGGGGGTTAAAGGTGTCTTTTTTTGTTTTTTTGCTTATATCTTGGAAACTATCATTCCTATAGGTTTTTAACTTCTTATGAAAATTAAAGCTTACAAAATTTCCTACAAAAACGGTCCTTTGCGTTTTTGTTGTAGGACTAACCGTAACCGAGTTATAGGGCTGACAAAAAACATCATTTAAAAAAATGTGCTTTATCCGCATTTAAAACAGAATTAGTCTTGTAATTTCAAAAAACTGGCAGTAAATTGAATTTACTGGGTCCAATACATCATTAAAGGAGAGGGGAGTCACGAGGGTCTATGAATACAAACTCATCGTTTATGTAATTTATGCAGAAATTTCTATAGAAATCTATTTCTGCATCAAAATTTCCTACAAAAATGGTTTTATTTATTTTTGTCGAAGGACTAACTGTAGGCTTCTCAAGTTTGGAGTCTACATAAAACTGCATTAAAAATCCTTTGAAACACATTTCATTAGTTTATAGTAAGTATTTATATGTGTAGAGCGTTCCCCAACTAAGCTGGTCTGCCTGAAAGGTGATTCGGGTGTAAACATTTAAACGGAGATATAAATAAAAATTTTGGAAGAAAGAGAGAATCAATCTCTAAGGGGGTTAAATGGGGGTAAACGTTTAAACAAAGATATAAACATAAAATGTTTTAGAGGTGTAAAGGGCACACTAAAATCAATTTTTCAAAAATTAGTTTTTAAGAGAATGAAACGGTGTACACATTTAAAGAAAACATAAAATTTGGAAAATATGATCCTTAGAGAGTGTAGAAGTGCACTTTTCAAATTTTAATGAAATAAAGTAGAGTGTAAACGCTTAAAAACAAAATTAGAAACATAAAATTTAGAATTTTGAGAATGCAGAAATGCACGAAGACGACACTTTATGAAAATCAACATTTAACATTTATCCATAAACATAGCCCATGCGAAGAACGAGACTACTATAGCTGAATCCCATACAAAACATAGGAGGTGATCCAGCTTTAAGAGAGTACCTACGCCTATGGAATGGCTTTGTGAATGGGCTTTTTCCTATTTTATATCAGAAATACACGCGGACGAAGTCGCAGGCAAATGCTAGTTCAGCATATAAGGATGAACCCGGAAGACTTGATAAACCCCCTTGACACCCTCTAATAAGCTGTTGTACCGAATACAACCAATTTACTCTAAGTTTTATTCAAATCATCGATATTAAATCATTTATCTATTAATATTGTACTGAACAAGAGTGTAATTCGGCTTTCAATGTTTAAGTTGAAGACGAAGATGCAGCATATGAGGACGACTCGGAAGACTTTATAGACTCTCTAATAAATAAAGTGTTGCACCCAATAAATTCAATTTACTGTCAGTTTTTTCAAATCACAAGATTAATTCTGTTTTAAATGCTGATAAAGCACATTTTTTTAAATGATGCTTTTTGTCAGCTCTATAACTCGTTTATGGTTAATCCTACAACAAAAATGCAAAGGACCATTTTTATAGGAAATTTTATAGGCTTTAATTTTGATAAGAAGGTAAAAACCGATAGAAGTGATAGTTTCCGAGATAGAAGCAAAAACCCAAAAAAGACACCTTTAGCCCCCTCCCCCTCCTCGAGCTCGACCCCAACCCTCGGGGACTTTTGATATACAGGGGGCGCCAGAACTCGCGCCCCAGAGAAAAATGCCATATAAATTAAGATACCAGAAACATGGAAAAAATGTTAAAAAAAAATATCTATAAAAATTTCGAAGTTATGAGGGTTTAAAATTTAAACGACGCGTTTCAACCACAAAGTGGTCATCCTCATGTGAAAATAAAAACCTGAGGATGACCACTTTGTGGTTGAAACACGTCGTGTTTAAAATAAAAGTTTGGTGTGACGGGTTAAATCATGTTTTTGTTTATCATGTCCATACCAAGAGGATCCAATAAGAAGAATACCAGAAACATTGAAAAAATGTTAAAAAAATTCTATCTATAAAAATTTCGAAGTTATGAGAGCTTAAATTTTGCACTTTGACACTATTTTTTTCTGTTGGAAAAATAATTTTCCAAGTTTTTTTGCTATAGGCTATTAAAAGAGGAAACAAGGAAGCTGTATCCTTGTAACTCTGTTCAATGTTATTTTTGGTTTTGATTGGCAAAATTTTTGTCCCTTTACTAAATAATTGTAAAAGAACATATACAAGATCATCAGTATCATTAAATAGATATAAAAAATGTCAAATGTCAAAATTTT